TTGTTAGGCTTCAAAGAAAACGGTGATATTTAGTTAAAATTATGAATGACACTAAATTCTTATGGTGACGATAATACTATGTATTATCATTGATAATTGTCGTTTTACAAATATAAGTGTCATTTTATGAATTACTATTTATTTATTTATTTATTTTAGTACAAAGAAGATGTCAACGCCTAATGAGTTATGTTGCACACCGCTCGCGGATAAGCTACGCCAATAATATCATGGTGGAGCCAATGAAGGACCCCATCAGGCGGGACATGTAAAACATGGTATCGCAACGAACCAGCCGCAACGAAGGAAGCCAAATGATCAACTACAAATTTCACTTCACGGAAGACATGGGTCACCTTCACTTGCCAAGGACGACCCAGTAATTCTTTGATGCCCAACACCAGGCCTGAATGCACCCCTGGCACATCGTCAAGAGTACTGGAGAAACACACAAAACTCTCATTATCGACTTATGCTTCCACTTGTCGAAATCCTAAGTCCCAAGCCAACGCAAGATCCCGAAATAAACCCCATAGCTCTGGCCATTATCGAGCAAACCCAGATGTTCATTATAAAACCCCCACGCCATTGGCCAAACTCGTCTCTTATGAGACCACCCACTGTCCCCATACCTGACATCGCATTAAGAGACCCATCTGAAATAATTTTAACCCACCCCATCGAAGGTCTCTCCCAACTTATCCATCGCTTCATTCTCAACCGACCTGATCCTCCCAGCTTCCTATCTCCTTCGAGAAACTTCATAACCCTAATCCCTCTTTCCTACTGTGCATCTTTTCTATTACATCATCTTTTTTTTTCTTTCTTTTAACAATTCTAACATTGATCATTTGCCAGAATAGCCCATGCCTATGACACCAAATTGGCCCAAGAAATTTTTCCTCATGGCCTACGTGTTAGTCCAACACACCTTTCCTCAAAGGCCCACCATCTATTTAGTGGCCCAACAAAGCTTTCTTCTGGGCCACATATGAGAGCAAATAATTATCTAAGTCTCATGCTTTTGCACAGAGTTATTGTTTTCATAAATAGAAAAGCACTAAAAGCTTGGTTGGTTTAAACTTTGAAGCAAGCATATATATATATATATATATATATATATATATATATATATATATAAACTACCTAATCCACATTTAATAAAAATTTAATAAAACATATTTCACTTTCCAGCCTAAAAACGTTACATGTTATTTTAGGAAGACTTTTTTTTTAATCTATTAATATATAATAAGGATTAACATAATTCACTTTTAGAAACTCTTTCCCGCCAATTTCATTAATTACATGCTAAACTTAGAATGTCAGGATAATTTGGGATAAGAAATTAATGAGCATCCACAATTTTAGGAATAAATTGATACAATCCGATTTTTATTCACTTTTCAAAATTTGGTTAGATATTAATCTATGGAATAAACTGATACATACAGAATTTCAGGAATAAACTGATACAATCTTAATATTGGAATAAATTTAGAATAAAAAACGAGAATGATTGAAAGAAAAAGATATACTCAAAATCCACACTTTAAGGTAACAATTTTTCTTATATTCTATATAAAATTAAACTTAGATAAATCATATCTTTAGTATTTCTCACAATATTACATATCTACACTATAATTTTAATTTGTGGTGCTAACATAACGAAAATCAACAACAAAAAAAAAAATAAAGTAAGAAAGTGTTTATGCAGTTCGCAATTACCAACTGCATAGCAATCTTGGTAAATATCGGTCCACGGTTGCCAAGTGCAAAGTAATTTTGCATGGAAAAATGATGATGTTTTTAATAATGTATGACTTTTTCATGACGAACATTTTACGATTACCTAACAAATACTCTATGTATTATAACTTATTAATTATAATTTAATTATAAATTTTACCACAATAAATATAGCCCGTGCATCGCCCGGGGTTACGTATTAGTAAAAGCTAACCAAAACTAAAGGTTGACTCTTCTATGTATTTAATGTGGCAATTACTAATAAACATTTTATTAGACAAAAATTTAATTAGATGAAATATTAAGTTAACAAAATTATAACCAGTCATTTTTTTATACTTTTTTATTTTTGCTCTATAAATAAAAAAATAATCAGTCCGAGAAAATTGAACAAATTCAACACATAAACAAAAATTTAAAAAAAAATACAAATAATTACAAAAAGAATAATTTAATTGACCGCCCTTTAGCTTTGAATTGGACCTACAAAAAATATTAAAAAAATAAAAGTCAGTAAACAATTTTAATTATCCCATGATTTAATAAGAGTATAAATCTTAAACTGTTCAATTTCAGTAAGGCGGGAAAAAATAAATTAAAACTAAAATCAAAATTATAATCAATGAAAAAGAGGCGGCAAGTAAAGTACATAAAATTCAAAATCAGATAAAGTTTGATTGATTAAAAAAATAGAGAAATAATATTATTCCATGATTTTAGCACAATATTGATACAGAATATTATTAAATATCAGTTACAAATTCTAAAAAAGAATGAAAAGGCATAGGATGCGGGAAAAATAGTGGAATTTGATTAACCCTTGATTTATGAACGTAATTTATATATTAAACATATTAAATGTACCAATGTGATTTTGACCATCCTAATACCATATATATATGTCCCATTCATTCACAATTTAACCTCATTGAAACTGCAATTATTCAGCAAAAAAAAAAAAAATTCTCCTAATTTTCTCAAATCAGCAGTGGCATCCATTTTTAACAAATTGACCATCTTGGCAAAAAACAAGAATAAGACTGTCAGGCTCCGACTGGTCAGACACTACCCACGATATTATCAGTCGTATGCCTAAAAAATCAGCGGACATGATTTCATTTTTCATGATGTGAAGGTATAATTCTTTTTTACTTCTCCATTATTCATTTAATTTGTTCAACCAACATTTCTACTAACAACTTCATTAATTACTTTTTTAAGGGCCAGCGTATACACGGATGGGCACCCGGATGCTTAACCGAAAAGTTCAAAGACTTTAAGCTTCTCGAAGGCAATGTGTACGAGATCAAAAATTTCCAACTTGTGGTGGACAAAAGTGCATAAAAGATAACTAAATCAAATCACAAGTTCATTTTCTACAATGAAACCAACATGTGCGAGATAGTTGATGATGAGTATCCGAGGTTAGTGTTTGAGTTCAAGCAATTCAGCGAGCTAACCGTCCCCGAAAGAATTGATCCTTCTTCACCTTTTGGTAACATTTATATTTTTTTTAAAAATAATACAAATTCTGGAAATGTTAGTGTTTATTAATTTTACTTTTTTTGTAGACATGATTGGACGTATTGTTTTGTTTCAAAACGTACACACAAGAAATTCAAAAGGAAGTCCAAAGAGGTGTATTGACATTGTTCTTGAAGATGTTGAGTAAGTTATAGTTGTATCGATTTTTTTTTTTAATTCGAGTATACACATCTTTTAAAAATTAATTTGCTGTTTTATTGTACAATTTTTAGTGGTTGCCACCAAACATGCACACTATGGTAAGGATATGTTGATATCCTTTTATCTGCCTACAATAAGTCACCTGCAACTGATTTGCGTGTGCTCATAATACAACTTTGCCATGCAAAGTCATTTGATGATGGTATATAGCATATGGCTTAATTTATATTATCATTTACTCCTATTCTTATTTTAGAATTATCTTACATTTTTTAATATTGTTCCAAAACTTTCCTTTTGTAGGATCTGTTTTAGTTTCCAACATTTACGATGCTACAAAATTGATAGTCTCGAATGGTGTTCCTGAGATTGTTGATTTCAAACAAAGGTATTTAACCTTAGTATTCAATGCCTATTTGTTATTATGTGATTCTATATTTGATCAAATAAGAAAATAATTATATACTTCCGATTAAATTTTTGTTTCACTAGGTACAATTCCCACACAAGGCCAAGAGAATCTTCATTCCCTTATGTTAGGTCTTTCATGTCTAACGTATGTGACGACTTGCAATCCGGAAATATCATAAGTGTTGAGGAATTTTATGCGTCCGAAGAGGTACCAATTTGACTTATTAAAATCTTTCAATTATTACTCACTCATAATAAAATAAGCTATTTTTTGAATTATTACTCACATATTGATTTGTTTTTAATCTCTTTTCAGCAAAAAGATTATTGGATTTGTGGCAACATTGTTGATATATGGAGTGATTGGTTTTTTAATTCTTGCCCCAATTGTGTTTGGAAAGTCGAACCCAAAAAAGAGAGATTTTGGTGCAACCATTACCAAGACACTATTCCTTTGCAATTCTTAGGTAATTACCTTTTATATTCATAAAATTAACCATAAAGATCTTTTTATTTGTTTTTATTCATTTTTTATTGATAGATACAAGCTACATATTTCGGTTGGAGACAACACCAGAATGGTTCGCCTTTTGTGCTGGGACAAAATTGCTCGAGAGCTAGTTGGAAAACCATGTGATGCTGTTGTTAGTGAAATGATAGAGGCATGTGTATTTTTTAATAGGAGTTTCCTCAAATGTTTTATTCTTATATTATCAAAATTATAATTTCATTCGAAATTGAACATACAGGAAAATGATGGATCGGATCTACCTCTTGACCTTGAGATTTTGATACACAAAGTGCTATTGTTCAAGGTTTCAAAGAAAAAGGGTCAATTTGAATCATACAATGGTCCTTTTACCGTTTCTCGAATAACATTTGACCATATTTTGGTCAACCGATTTGGTTCTTTACCAACATCTCCCAGGTTGGTCTGATTTAAATTAAAAGAAATAAAAGTCCTGCAAAGTATAATAGAAGTATTATTTTTATATTGTATAATAATTAATATTTTCTAGTGATTCTCTTTCTCAATAGGATTCTGACCAACTCTCCACATTGATCAAAGAATATTATAAAGTTGTTCAAGTAAACATTATATTTTTATATTTTTTATTTTCAGCAGTAAAATATAATATTTTCATAAACAATTATATATTTTATTATGTAGGAATCAGATTGTGAGGAAACTGAACCAGGCTGCAAAGAAAAAACAGGAAAGAGGGTTGAAAAGAAATTATTTGAAGATGACCCGTGCTGTAAAGGGGAGCCAAAAGTCAAGAAAAACAAAATTGAAAAAATCTGAGGGGCTTGCTAAAGATTATATTAACTTGAAGTTGTTTTTGGGATATTAGTTTCCATATTTCCATTTTATGCTGTCAGATTCATGCAGTTTTTAAAACAACATGTTCAATAATGTACTTGAAAAATAATATTAGGTCTGAATAAAATCTTCTTATTAAAATGTGTTTAAATATTTTTGCTTTTTATTACTTCTATCTTTCAGTTTTTGACTTCAATAATAAAATTAAGACTACAAGAGCAACTCCTAACTCTTTTTAACAAAATTGCAACCAATCTAAAAAAATCATAAAAAAATTAAAAATAAAAGGCAAATGACACAATACAACAAATGACATCTTTTCACACAGATGCCAACTTTTTAGTCTTAAAATTTCAGCCAAATTAAAATACTACCAATCAAATCATGTTTGAATTATTTTTTCCACAATGAATGTACTCAATTTAATGAAAATATGATTTCAGCAGTCATAGATTTCACATAAATACATTAGTTTTGTAATAACTTTCAAATACAATAAACGAAGTCAAAAAATCCAAATAAATGCTAACAAATGAACTTGATATATTTACCAAATACAGATGTTGCAGTTTTCTAAAAGATAGAACTGCAC